AGCCCAAACACTAAACCCCTAAACCCTGAACCCCTAAGCCCTAAGCCCCAAAACCCTGAACCCCGAAGCCCTAAACCCCTAGACCTTAAACCCTTCTACCCCTAGACCTTAAACCCCACAACCCCCAAACCCCTACAACCCTAAACCCTAAACCCCAAAACCCCCCTAAAGCGCCAGAACTCACACATAAAGGGAAGTCGCAAAAGCAGGCCTGAAATCAAGGCATCTCCTGGTTTCAAAGGTTTTTGGGTAATATGGGGATAGTATTTTGAGGGTATATAGGGTTTAGGGTTTAGGGTTTTGGGTTTTTATATAAGGGGCAATAGGGAACACATATATATATATATAGTACCCCAATAATGGAGAATCAAATGGAAAGTGACATGGAAACTGGTGGTATATAAAGGTTACCTTTGGTTAGCTGGGAATGAAGAAATGGAAAAGACGATGGCAACTGTTATAATGGGTTGTATGGGGACTACTATGAGGATCTCAAAGGTAAGTTTAGGGTCTTTCCTGGTTGCAGGGTTTAGGGATTAGGGTTTAGGGGTTTGATAGCGGTTATATACAGGGTATATACGGATAACAGAAAAGAAGCTGGAATCCACTAGTTAAGCTTTTCGGGTTTCGGGACTTACAGTAGGGTTTAGGGTTTGGGGGGGCTTGGGTTTTTCGGTTTTAGGGTTTAGGGTTTAGGACTGCTGGCTGTAGGGTTTTCAGGGTATGGAGTTTCCTGTAGGGTTTAGAGTTTGCAGTTTTAGGACTCTGTAATGACAAAGGATCTCAAAAGTGACCCCATGGAATCTGTTCCTTCCCCAAACGATTGGTAGGGGCCCATGTTTGGAGCTCTTCTCGAGGGGGTGCGGAGGCGGACTTGCAGGGTCTACCAATTGATTTACAAAGAATATGCAGCTTGACACTGCCCCACCCTGCCCTAGTCCCACCATATTCCACTTGTAGCAGCACATTCTACTCAAGGGTCCTATATCTGACAGCTCTAGCCCTGGGGCAGTATCCAACGCTGTTCTCAGTACTAGCAAATTAAAAAAAAAACTGGCTAAATGCATCCTGGCATCCCGTAGCTGGCATTTGGGTGGCTGGCATTGCCCAAACTTTCTCGAAGCTCGACACCAGGTGGCGCGCTTATCTCCTCATTCTTTGCTAGCCTCCCTCAGAATAGCCCATTCGAGTCTACCCTGTGGGGCAGTCTTTATAAACCCATAGCGTCCCCTACACTTCCTTGCAAGGATACAGGCACAACCACGGAACTTTGATATTTGAAGTCCCATGCCCTACACCCTGAAGCCTCGAACCCCAAACTCTAAATCCAAACCTTTGAGGTATATGGTATGTGTATAGAGGAGAACCAAAGAATGAGATGCCTTCCCTCCCAGGCCGATACAGTTCAAGCTTTATACACCAAACCCTAAACCCTAACCCCCAAAACACGGGGCCCATCATGTTAAGAGGCTTACTTATAGGTTTGATACTGAGAATGAGCATGACTGGAAGCATCTTAGACATTGGGAATTATGGTAAGGTAGTTTACTAGGTTCAGGCAGGATGTAGAATAGCATCCCCTCCAAATTATTCTTAACCCTAGACCCTAAATCCCAAACCGATGATGCCCAGAAAGCCAATCCTTCGAGCTGCAGCCCTAGACAAGGACCCACATGCTGAGAACACCCCGCAGCTTTTGAGCAACGGGCCTGACAACTGCTGCCACGGCTATATCCTAAACCATCCTAAACCCTAAGCCATAAGCCCGAAATCCTCAATCCCCAACCCCACACCCCCAACCCTGAAACCCTAGTTGTAAATACGGAACAGCAGTGTCTTGCATATATCCCTACATAACCCTAAACCCTAAGCAAGCCAAAGCGCGACGCTGGCCGCAAGGCGCAAGGGCTCCGGAAGTGTTATCGAGATCTCAACGCCGTAGGCTTTCGCGTTGGCTTCATACTCATGGGCACCTTCCCAAACCCTAAGCCCTAAACAAAACTGGGCTGGAAAAAGTTGTGTTGAGGTCCAACCCTCAACGCTAAACCTTTTTTGCGGTTTCAGCCAGGTATCGTGGGTTGGGGTTCATACAGGAATCAAGTTTCAGTCATAGTTTGGGTTCTCTTGACAGTCAGGGACTTGTACGTCTGCAATGAGCGAGAAGGGAATATGCTGCTCCGAGTCGCCCATCTGCTTACGGCTATAAGGTTTCGGGCTTATACCGGAATGTTGTGAGCATTAGACAGCATTCAGCCAGAATTCGTTGACGACAAGATGATCATGAAATGTGGGTGGCTGCCCAGGCCTTCCCAATTTGTGCAGATCCCGGGCATATGCTAGGCTTTTCCTTGGGTTCCGTCGTCAGGCCGAGTTCCCCGAGACCTTTTCGTAGTTGTTAACTTGACAACATCAACACAAGACGCATGCTGCAACAAGCTCGCGCATGCATGCATAAGACAACCTACGAATGAAAAGAAGCATGACATGGTAGTTTCCAGTCAGAAGGGGACCTCAAAACAAATCCCAAGTATTATGACCCTTATTATAAGGACCCAAAAAAAGTTCCCTTAATTATGGGAAACTCCCATATCAACGCCCCAAAGCCCCTGGAGTCCAAAAGTACAGAAATCCAAGCCACGAAGGCAAAAACAGCACGTGCCATGCACGAAACATAAGGGCCCAAAAAAAAGGGTTTAGGGTTTTGGGTTTTGGGTTCGGTACAGCAGACCAGAACTATGCAACAACTTGATGGTGATAAGCTTTCTAGGCATTCGGGCCTCTACATTAACGTGCTCCCAGAAGCCCCCACCCCCTACTAATGCTTTCCAAAGCAGAGCCGTAATAGGGCTGCATTGGCAACTGTATCGCTACGAATAAGGTCCCTATCAAAAGTCATTTGCTCGTCATCGGGTCCTCACTTTAAGAGTAGTGGGCAAAACACTCTCAGCAAAAGGATAAATGTAGGTCAGCACCAGGGACAGAGGCACTCTACCTTCATCCTTATTGTTAGAGCCCCCCAACCCACAAATGCCACTTGGGGAATTTAATGAATAGCCTGACGGGCTGTCCAAGCTGCTGTTATTTACCAGAAATGACCTCGCAGGCCGCAATATGGGGATGGTCTGCAGGTAGCTCTTGTCCAGCGCCACACGGGCACCAGTTGCAATGAATCCTTCACAGAACAAAAGCTTTTGCTGCATGCAGACAAATGCTTTCGCTGGAGGGCCCTGCGTGCCTCCTCGAATTCGAGGGAGTCTTCATTCTGAATGAGTAAACAGAAATGCGGCGCAAAAACTTTGATATCGTTTGGTGGGCAAAGGCAACGCTAATATTCTCAGATCGCGTTTGCTTGGAGATTTACCATGCTGCCGAAGGCAGATATGGTTCTCAAAGCTGCAGGGTTATTGCTTTGATGCCCCCTTAGTGAAAGATGCCGAATGATCACCCGCTGCCCACTTCAGAGCCTGCAGCGGGCAAGTAAACTGGCAGGGTCAAAACACTTTGCTACAAAGCAGTGATATTTCGAAGACCGGAACTCAAGAGAAAGACGCATGCACGCTCCATCAGTCTGCAGCAAACACCCAAGCAGCAAGGCAGGCAATTTTGTAAGTGTAGGCGGAACAGAGGCATGAGAGGGGTTGCAAACTCCATCAATTTTGAGAAGTATCCTGGCCCGCAAGTTCCTGAGAGTAGTACAGCCTGGCCTTCACCTATATCCTGGGCATAAACAACGAGCCTTTAAAGTACCTCAGCAGCTCAAGGAAGGAGCACCCCACAAGATCAACCAAGGAGCTTTTGTAGGTTTCGATACGCCACTGGGCCGTGTCTGGCCAGCTAGGCACCGTTGGGTTTCGTACCCTGCCTTCCAGTGTGTACACCACGCCCTGCAGCCAGGGCAAGTGAGTGGGCAGCTCTGGGGAGGGGAGGGCAAGGTACCCATGGGGTCATATTAGGATTATATGTAGGCTTTTATGGGGATAATGGAAAAGAAATGGAAACTACTATTTTAGCTTTAATTTGGGGTCAAGGCGTGCAGAGAGCTCCCGGGCTGCACAGGAGAAAGATCTCAACTTGAGCTCAAGAAGTGGGGGTTTCCCAAGATTAGGGGTACCTTTAAAGGACTATAGGGGTTATATAGGGGGATATATAGGGATTATATAGGGGATCTTATAGGGTTTAGGGTTTCCCAAGATTAGGGGTACCTTATTGGGGGTCCCCATAACAAGGACTATAGTATATTGGGGTCTATATTGGGGTCCCCTTATTTTGGGAAACTACCAAGTGCCTCCAGAATTGCCTTGCGAGCGATGAGCAGGAAGATCATAGACACTGGGGCATCACCACCTCCCTCTAGCGAAGGAAGGCCGTTTTCATCCCCGATGCGGCATACCATGTCGAGGGAGGAGTACCTAGCCCAGACTTGCAAAAAATACAACAAACAATCTTCTGTAGGAGCTCTGTGTATATAGGACTGGTACTGGATTTCGGTATAGAACAAGCAAGTCCCTCTACACCTTCAACACGCTGCAAAGAAACTCTACAGACGTCACTGGGGTTCAGGCAGGCAGGGAATCACGTGGCTCGATTGTTAGACAAACCCAGCCCCTGGCATCAAACAATGGGGCGGGAGGTGTAAAATGCGAGGGGGGGACAACACCTGACGTACACCAGCGATGCCGATATGGCCCGAGAATGCCTCTAACCCTTCCTCTCACCTCGAATCTAACAGCAGCCTTATTAACCCAAAGCCCTACACAGCAAACAGAAAGCTGAAAAAGTAAACTATAAGCCCCACGCGCCCTAAACCCTGAACCCCAAGCCCTATGCTCTTCAATTCGAACCTCATAGCATTTTACCATTTTCGAACGGATGTTTCCAAAGCAATGGACAAGCTCCCTTCCCGTTTAATTTTCAGTTCCTCGTCCATTTGGGTCGCCATTATCGGGTTAGTATCCCTCATTGCGCTACCCCCTAAGATTAGGTCCTAATCTTAGATTAGGACCCCACATGGTCATGATAATTCTGGGGTCCGTATTTAAAGGGTTGAGGTAACTAAAGTCCTCTCACTATTAAATCTCAGCCCTAAAGGCCTAACTCCTGAGCCCCTCAAGCCTCTAAACCCTGAAACCCTAAACACTAAACCCTGAACCCTAAACCCTAAACCCTGAACTCTAAACCCTAAACCCCGAGCCCTAAACCCTAAACCCTCCAACCCTCAAAAGATCGGTCCGAGGCACGAGGCTTCAAGATCCCAGGGGTCTCGTCCTTTCCTCTCCAGTGTCGGACTGCCCTCAAATGTGAGGATAGGGTTTCGGGTTTAGGGTTTGGGGCTTAGGGTTTAGGGTTTAGCTTTTTGTGGCTTAGGGTTTAAGATTTAAGGTTAAGGTTTAGAGGCTTCAGGGCCCTGTATACGATATGAAGGAGTTTAGGGTTCAGGGCTTAGGGTTTAGGGCTGACAAACCATGAACCCTGCTTCTAAGCACTGTATTTCTTTGGCAGGAGGGGGCTCTGAAGTTTCAAGCCCTGAACACCGGGTCCCAGACCCTGAATCTCTAAATCTGAATCCCTGAATCCCTCACCCCAAGCGTTAAATCCCGCAACCTAAGCCCCTACACTCTGAGATTTCTATACCGGCGCAGGCTTTCGAAAGATTGCCTAAACCCTGAAACATCAATGCCGCCAAGATGCACAGACATCAAAGTCCAGCTTCTCAAACTCGAAGCCAGCAGACACGAACACGACAACTCCGCCATCCTTCCAACTCCACAAGCTGCGCATGGGCGTGCCCAAGAAAAAGTTGCCCGCCCTCAATTGAGACTTGTGGAATGGATCCGCAACATGGTCCCTACGGTCCAGATGTTTAACAAATCTTGCAACAGTCCACAAACCTTGCCTCCATTCCCAAACAAGCATGAGCAAGTATGAGCAAGTCAAAGCTATGTGCGAATGCGGGAGTTTTTCCCTGGGGACTCTAGGAATATGTAATCATATAGCGGATTTATAATGATATATAGTGCTACACAGAAATTACAGGGCCCCTTAAGGATTATCTAGGGATTGTTCTGAGAACCTTGCACGTGTTGTCATCAAGACTTGGCCTCTGCGTCTGGTAGCAGCGGGTCGCTACCACTCTGCAGCCTGGTGCAAACTATGCCGGTTTTGTGGGTCTGAATAGGGTTTAGACACGCGCATCGCACAGCAGTGCAGGCACGGCAAAGGATGTCCTGTTCTGAATAGGGTTTAGGGTTTAGGGGCTTAGGGTTTAGGGTTTAGGGGTCATTGCCTAGGGTTTGGTTTATGTAGCCTTGCCCAAACTAACAGAACCCTGAACATGGGCTGATAGAGACTACTGTCCATTGAAATGGATGATGTATGGGGTTCCTTGTTAGTCTTGAAACGGTAGGGTGTAGGGTTCGCGGCTGCATGAATATGATACAAGCCTGGGCTTTCAGTGGTCAGTGCTTTTGGGAAACAGGACTGATGAAGGAACCTTTAGTAACTGGTAATCCTTCAGGCTGCTATCCTTTGCAGTAGGTGGACCCCCCACCCAGTAACAGTGATTATGATGGAGAATGGGAATTGTATTAGGGTCCTTTTAAAATCCTATTATACCACTATTACAGGGTCGGGGGTCCTCCTATGCTTTGCATGCTCTTGGCACTCGGCCTGAATACCTGACCCCATCCCACAAAAGTCAGCACATATTGCAAATGCAGTAACCTCCTGCCCTTAATCAAGGTCCTATATGTGACTGTAATAGACTGAATCAACCCGTTACCTTTAACCAAGGCTACATCTGTCCATATCTGTGTGTGTGTCTGTGCACACATATGAAAACGGAGGTGGGCCCCATTGTAGATCCCAGCATACTATAATCCTTGTTATACGGAGGAATCTCTAATTTGTCAAGACTCTGACATGTGTAATTGTCATTGGGGTCCTGAATGGACACACAGACGTGCGCATACATATAATTCAATATGACTCTCACAGGGTGGGGAAATTGGGATATGTAGAGTATACCTACACCCTACACCCTAAACCTCCAAACCAGGACCCTTGCCTGCGCTGGCGCATCCTAGGCGCCGGAATGGTGGTGAATGGCATGAAATCCTTGCCATGTTTCTAGGTTGAGAGTTCAGGGCTCAGGCATACCCTACCTATGTCTCCAAATAAGGGCGCCTGGAAATCCCCAAAAAAGCTACAATGGGGGCCCAGGTTGTTAGTTGGTTTACTTTTGAAGGCTACCTGGCGAGGCTTATGAGAGAGGATTGAAAGGGCTTCTGCGAAATACATGGGGCATTGTACGACTTTGGTAGGGAGATTGGGGAAATGACAGGGGCAATTGCCACATCTTTGCGACGGTCTTTGCAGGCAGTCCAGGTACAGGGCATTGCCTTCTCAGAGGGGACCGCAATAGGAAGTTCGACCCCGAAACTACTGCCCTTGCTAGGCAAAGAAGTGTAGCATCTCCTCCATCAACTTGCTGGTGGTTGGTAGGGAGTAGGAATATGATCCCTATATACTCCCCCTACAAAACATATCCCCTAAGTCCCTACTAACCCCCAGTAAGTCAACTGCGCTTGTGCCAACACCACTTCTGACACGGACTCAAGAGGCACAATGCAGCCAAGCATCAATCCGAAAGGGCAAATATTGGTCCAGGACTGTCCTGGGACAATCAGAGTTTAGGGTTTAGGGATTGGGGTTCAGGGTGTAAGGTTTAGGGTTTAGTGAATCTCCTCCCCACACAATAAACCCCCAAACCCCCAAATACTACATGACCCCAAGACTTTTGAAGGTGGGTGACAGTTCATTATCAGGGGGCTATCAGAGGAGCGGGATACCCTCCCCCAACTAGCGGGGAATCCCTAAAGGGTGGCGTTCATAAGCTACCGTGCTTCAAAAGGGTGCTGAAAAAGGTCCATGCTAATTTGGGGGAACGGACTACCAAGCCTGATATGCTCCTTTCTTACCGCACCTTACTTAATCTGCAATATGATTGTTAGCGGATATGCACTGGGCCCTTTTCTTCCCAACCCTTTTACTTACAGGTGTTTGGAAGGGAGTAAGGGAATATAAGCCCATATAACATGTTATACTATATTCCGTTATGCCCTACTATAACCCCAATCTATACCTTATTTTGATACAGTAGCATCCATGTTCTTTTCCATGATCCCTATATAACCCCAGCATATTCCCTTATTCCCTAAAGGGTTTAGGACAAGGATACAACTCTAAATCCTAACCTTTCCACACAAAGTTGCAGCATCCAACCTAGGAACCTAAACCCAAATCGTAATGCCGAAACCTACTCCAACACCACCGAAAACCCAGATCCTCAGCCTTACCAGGCCCTTATTAGGAACCCCAGGAAGCATTTAACTATAGGCAGTTAACTTCTTTGCAATAACAACCTCTACCTCGATATTTGAATGTGTGGATTTATATGAGCTGTAGTCTAAACTCCTAGTATCCCCCTTAATATCCCCCTATAATCCCGTAGGAGTTTAGCCTCCTAGTCCCCCTAATCCCTTTAGACCCTTCCACAATTGCGCAGAGTGTCCACCAAGTGTGCGAGGCAACACCCGTCGCCAACTCCAGCCGTGTCTCAGCAGGCAGAAATGTCCTCAGTTTAGGGTTCAGGGTCCAGGGTTCAGGGTTCAGGG